CGAGGAAACCGTTGATATTGTACCTCTCAGTGACTGAGACCACAATGGGCTGCATGCTCGCACAGGAATCTGAGGATAAGGTGGAGAGGGCCATCTACTATCTGAGTAAGAAGATGCTAGAGTATGAGACTCGCTACACACCATTAGAGAAGGCTTGCTTAGCTTTGGTATGGGCTACCAGGAAGCTGCGGCACTACCTGTTAGCTCACTCCGTAATGTTGGTTTCGCGACTAGATCCCATCAAATACCTTTTCGAGAAACCAGCACTTACGAGTGGGCTAGCTCGTTGGCTGCTGTTGCTCTCCGAATTCGATCTAAAATTTGTGACACGCAAGTCAGTCAAGGGAAGAGCAGTGGCAGAGTTCTTGGCCGACCACCCAGTCGAAGGAGGTGAAGTAGTTGAGTACTTATTCACAGATGAAGCCATTTTGCATATCAATGACGAATATTGGACGATGTACTTTGACGGAGCGTCAAATCAGTACGGGTATGGGATAGGGGTGTTGCTGATAGCACCCGACAATTCCCGTCTCCCTCTAGCTTTCAAACTCCGATTCAAAGTCTCGAACAATGAAGCTGAATATGAGGCATGTATTGCCGGTCTAGAAGCAGCCCTGGAACTAGGGGCAAGACGGTTGGATGTCATCGGGGATTCGAACCTTGTTGTGTCTCAAGCAAACGGAGACTGGAAAGTCAAGGAAGAAAAGATGATGATGTACCACCAGACCTTGGATTTGCTAATCCCTTGGTTTGAGAAGCTAAACTTCGCTCATCTTCCAAGAGAGAACAACAGGTTCGCAGATTCTTTAGCAACTCTATCTTCCATGATAGACATCCCGTTTGGAATCCGGATGCGTCCAGTCATCATTGACCAGAAATTTGCGCCAGCCTATGATTGCCGCTATAGATGAGGTTCAAGACGAAAACCCCTGGTATTATGACATTTGGAATTTCTTGGAAAAGGAAGTATACCCGCCAGGGGTATATGCCAAGGATAAAAGGGCAATCAGAAGAATGGTCGTTCAGTTCATCATCTGTGGGGGTAAGCTGTATAAGAGAGGCAATCTGGGAATGCACAAGCTGTGTGTTGAAACTGAGAAATCGAAGCGCCTGATGGAGGCCATCCATGGAGGAGAATGCGGTGCACACATGAACGGGGTAATGCTGGCACGGAAGATCCTCAGACAGGGTTACTACTGGTCCACCATGGAGGAGGATTGTATCGGCTTTGTTCAGCGATGCCACAAGTGTCAAATTCATGCAAATCGCATGAACATCCCGCCGTCGAA